AACTTAGAACCATCTCATAGATAAACAAATAAAAAGGGACTGACAATCCCATGGTAAAGAGTGGGACCGCGTTCCCGTCGCGCAACTCAGAATAACAATTTTGAAACCAATTAGCAGGACCATGGCAGGACGTACGTCTTTATTGCTATCTTTCTTTATTATGTGTGCTTCATATAAAAAAGAAAGAGATAGGTATAAAACATATCGTTAAGACATTATCGCACATTCTGGCTAGCGGGAAATGTAAATTAGCCATTATTAGTAGTATTTGAAAACTGAAAATTTTCACTTAACCTGATTTAATCCCTATACCAAACCAAATCACCAACAAGAATCACCAAAAGAAAAATTAACAAACATGTCGAATTGTCAAGATGTTGTCATCTTGGTTGTCATGATGACGAAAGGCGATTGTTTATGGCGTTTTATATGGCTGCCTCTTTCTCTCTTGTTATATTAGAATGAGATAGGGGGCTCAATAGACGCAATGCGCAGATCAACATAAATAGAACGAAATTTTGCGTTCTGAGTTGCGCTACGGGAACGTTGTCCCTCTCTTTGCCATTTAATTTGCTAGTCTCTTTTTATTTGTTTGAACCATCTCTAGTAGAGTAAACGTCAATAAACAATAATAATATGACTTTTCAATGACAGTGACATTACAAAAACAATAAACACTATTTTATAAGAGTGAGGAGTCAAAATCAATGCTAAAATTGCTGTAAATAGTTACTCTATTATTCAAAAGTGAATATCTCCAATAAAACTAAAGCTATTGAGATGAATCAAAAAACAAACTATCAACGTACCTAGGTGATAAAATTATTTTTAAATTCCTTGCTTTGTTAACATATTCCACAGGGTGTTTCAAACTTTCACTATAATATCAACTTTTTGTATTCCCTTGTATAATTGACAGATGGAAACTTTCATTTTCAATTTCGAAATATATACTAAAAAGTCAAATAATTCAGCTACTAGTTGCTTAAAAAATCATCAAAATCGGCCCATTATAACAAAATATATTAAACTTTAAAATACATCAAAATTTCAAGGTGCGTGTTTTTCGTGTCGATGAGTGTATTTATCATACAATTTGGTACGTTATTTTCTGCTTCAAACAATTTTTGTCTATTTTCAAAAATAAAGTGGTCGGACCATGTCAAAAATAGGGGAAAGTCACATAGGAGAGTTTTCTTTTTGATCGTCCTGTCCTCTATTCTCCCGCATATTGAAAAAGTCCTCTTTTGTAGAGTCAAGCATGCTTGTCAGTCATGCCTAACATGCAAACCTGGACACTTAAAACGGACATTATAAGGAAACTGCAAGTCGCACAACGCTCAATGGAACGAAATATGCTGGGAATAACCAAGAAAGGCTGTAAAAGAATAGAATGGATACGACAAAAGGCCCAGGTAATAGATGCCATCCACAGAATCAAATCCCTCAAGTGACAATGGGCAGTACACCTGGCAAGAAAGACGGAAAACAGATGGACCACAAAAACTGCTAGACCTAGAATAAGTCCAAACCTGAGGTGGGACAATGATATTAGAAAATTAACAGGAATAATTTGGGCCCGCATAGTCAACAATAGACAACAATTTATTTTTTTTCCTCATTATTCAGTGAATATTATAATCAAAATTTCTTTAACATCTAAGTGTAGTAGTGATGGGTTGTTATTTACCTATCTGTTATTTTATAACAATTATTTAGAAATAACATAACGCAACCGTTACTACTTCTAAAAAATAACAGGTATAAAATAACGACCCGTAGAGATCGACCGTTCGTAAAACGAAGTCGGCGCTCTGAAAAATTTTCAGAATAAATACCTAGTAGAAATTCTCCTTTGCAAATTTAAGTGTAAAATTAATTCAAACTCTAGTGTGTAGTTGGTTTACTTATAAAGAATATACTACACATTTTCTTATATTGCTATTTTGACCGCAAATGGTAAAATCATAACTAAAACTTCTCGCCCGTCGAGTGAGATGCACCCTGTACACTGCTACGCAATTCAGATCCGGGGGCAGGGCGCGGGCGTTGGTAGATTGAAATGTAATAATTATAGACGAGTGGCGACATTTTGGCTTTTTTATATCGCAATTTGTAAACAGCGCTTATTTGTAAACAACCACCGTTTTTAGAGAGGTATTTTAGATAACAATCGATATTTAGAAATGTTTTGACACCCTGGAAATACTACCACCGAGCACGTCATTGTTGCAACTTGCAACTGCGTTAATACGCCTGGCGGTGACCACCTCCATGCTCTTTCAGATATTTAGCAATAAAATAAAGAAACCTGTTGTTTTTAAGCTGTTATTTTGAGCTGTTTTTATAAATAACTATAACAGTCTCAACTGTTATCTAAAAATAACAGTTTTGCCCATCACTAAAGTGTAGAAAATTCTTGTCCGAAAACTACGAGTCAATAATTTGTGGATATAGATCGTTTGGATATAACATCATATTTGGCGTTTTTTTTTAAATCATCTTTTGAAACGCTAAAAGTAACGACATCACTGCAATAATATAAGAAAATTGTATCATATATTTATTTTAACTTATCTATAGTTTACAATGTAATAAACCGTTTTTACCTTTAACAGTGTATTTTTTTATAACCCCCTTTTATCTAAAAAAATGTATTTCTGCGTTCTCACCATAATGTAAAGTGACTAATACTACCTACATATTTTATATGATGAAATTTCGTAATATTTTGGTCATATTTCCCGATTCTGCTGTTGAAATAGCCTTAGAAATTGACAGTGGTATGTGGTATACCGACACTTCAAAAAATCTACTATAGTATCTACGATCAGAAAGTTTTCTGATCAAGCTGGTTTTGAAATTCTCAGGGATAATAGAATTTCATATAATTTCTCAAAGAATTAGTTAATGTGTCATCATAATGAGTGTCTTATGAATATACTATACCTAAAGCCTATCTATGAATAATATACAGGGTTTTTCGTTGTTCTCCACATATGACACGGAGTATTGTAGCTAAACGATAAGATTTTTACAAATTGTAAGTTTGGGATTCGTTGAAGGACTATGAGAGCTACAATTTAAAAATAATTTTACAAGACAGAAAGTATCCCAAATAAATAAAAAATATCAAAGTTGTATTTTTTTAAATGGAAGACACTGTATATTATTACATTTTTAGTTTTTACGATTAAAATAAAGGTAAATTTGATTAAGGTTTATCACTTAAACCTTACCGTTTTTTAAATATTTTCAATTTTGTGAAATTGCAGTAAAAAAATTAAAGCTTAAAAATAGTTGCTTTTTTTTGTTTCTGCGCTATTTTCTAGGCCCTAGCCTAGAATATTCCTAAATATCCTAAATATAGCAGTAAGGAAGTATCTACTTAATAAAAAAAATATATGTAGGTATAAGAGAGATAACAATTGTATTAAATTTTTTAGAGTCTATTTGATAGGTATTTTGATTTAATTATAATAATAAAATGTTATGTTTGCGTTGATTCTTTCTTTATTAGGTTGTTTTTATTTTATTCAATTAAAATTATTTCAGTTATATAGAATTTTCCCCAAAAATATTCTTATGTAAAATTTAATGCAATAAAAAATAAAAATATTTACTAATCATAAGTAAGTATGTTATTAATATATATGTTACAGTTAAATTCCGATGTCCGGTTAATGTCGACATTAACATTTAACATGTTAATGTTTGGGTTAGGTTATGTTTTTGGTTGTTTTGTTGTGTGTTATTCTCGAGATTAACCGGGTAATGTCGACATTAACCGTACATCGGACCTTAACCGTAACATATATATCAATATCAAGTAAAAATGTCTAAATTAGATAAAATTTAGTTTAACTAATTTTTTTAATGGATGGTTTTGTTCTATACTATTGTTCACCATTTATACCAAAAATACTTTAGGAATATTTCTTCAGTATACACTGATGCTAATAATGTAATAATTTGGAAGAAAAAATAAAAACATATTCATAAAAATGCTCCAAGAAAATTTTACTAATCTTGTAAACATAAATTTAAAATAAACAAAAATTAATGATCATCTTAGTGAAAATCAAATTTCAAATTAAAAAAGAAATCAATAAATTATAATAAAAATGATTTGTATGATTTTTATAATAAGGATATTGATATTATTTACTCCAACAAAAATTAAAATAAGAATATGGATATCTGAGACTCCACAAGCTATTTGAAATAATAAAAAAAACGATAACCAAATTTGATAAGTTATTTAATAAATTATATTTTACTTTTCTTTAAACTTAACGATTTTTCTAGTAATTTTTAAATATAAATTCAATATCCACTTTTTGTTTGTACTACAGTAATATTTCAAAGATTTATCTTTTTAAAACACTAACAAAACTAGAAATGCCAAAAATGAAGAAAAAACTCTGTAAGATTAATAAATACCAAAACAACAATTTCACTTTGTAGAACATTTATTATGACAAAAAATTAATATACATAAATTATATATCTTCTTATTTTTTCAATTTTTAAAAGTTGCACATATTATGCTCATATCGATTTAATATACTTATACAAATTCCAAGTATATTAAGAACATCACATAATATTTGAATATAAATTTACATCTTTACAATTAGTTTACAATTTATACAGTTTTACCGTACATAAAGAGCTATATTTGTATATATATAAAAAAGAAAACAGACAAAACAAATACTCCAAAAAACTTTAAAACCGTCTTTTCCACATCATGTTAAAGCATTTAAAATAATTTAAGAAATACTTTGGAATGGTAAATTATAAAAAAGGGATTATTTTCAAAAACCTGTTCACATAATTTGTACTTCGACTAAAACCAAAACAGATCAAACTCTTGGTGAGATTTTTCGTAATCGGTAGAGTACTGTCTGAATCACGCACACGACATTTTAAAACAATATCACGCGTGGCACTAAAATTTTGCGTTTGCACATGTACTATTTACTGCAAAAAGTCATTTTTATTACATAGATCTATGTAGATAGTCTTTTTGATTTGATGAATTTTTCGCAGCAAATTCTCAATAGCGTCGTGTATCACCGATGTCTTTTATTTACAGCACAGAGAAAATTATTTACATCAATTTATCTGAGGTCACAAACCAAATTGTTTCTAGGCCAGAGGGTACTGTCACAAACTCGTCGTACCAGCAGACGTATGGTAGAGCGATGGGCTGTTGTAATAATCGTTCCCCAGTGACGTGTGATGGATAGCGTTGGGTAACGGGTTCAGGGTGTTGTACCCTGCATACTGCATATCCGCATACATCTTTATATCTGACTTACTTTCTGTGGGAAGTAGCCTGGTAATGGAGAACGGGTGGTTCGAAGGCGTATAACCCGCCGGTTCCTGTTTGAGATGGTGGTTCATTGAACCATGATGCTGGAGCATCGCCTGGTGCTCACTTAACGCCAAGTGGTTGTTTCGGTTGATCATGGCAGATAATTCCTCGTGAGACATACCTTGATGGTGTTGCTGGTGCATGTTTAACTCGTTGGCGTTGAGAAGATTCATTTGTTCGACGTCGAGTTTGCTGGGGTGAATGTTCATCATCGAGCTCAAGTTGTTTTCGGTCTTTTCCAATGTGTTGTGAGATTTATCCTCGCTGGAATGTAAAGGTGTCTTTTTCCCTGAACTATTACTGTTGTCCATGCTGTGCGACGGGCTCTTGTGGGACTGCCTGATCAGTTCCTTCTTCTCGTCTTTGAACCGTTTCTGCCGGCGCAAATAACAACCGTTTTCGAACATGTTTCCTGAGTCCGGGTGTAAACTCCAGAACGAACCTTTCCCGGGTTTGTCCGGAGTCCGCGGAACTTTCACAAAACAGTCATTAAACGATAGAGAATGTCTGATTGAGTTCTGCCACCGTTGTTGATTCTGCCTGTAGAACGGGAACAAATCCATGATAAACTGGTAGATTTCCGATAAAGTTAGCATTTTCTGCGGACTATTCTGTATAGCCATCGTGATTAACGAGATATAAGAGTATGGTGGTTTGGCGTGAGTATAGGATCTGCGATAGGGTTTTTCGTTTCGAACTCTCTGGAGCGCGGAGTTTGGAGACGTATCGCCTCCTCCCAAATCACCCCTACCTATCTGCGAGTAATTCGGCATCCCTGACATGGTCGTTCCCATACAAGAAGCCATGTTAGAAATCGGAGATCCTATCGCGGTGTATCCAAGTTGTGGAGACTCGTTCAGAGCTTGTTGTCTTTGGTGGATCCTCGGATTCATCGTCATGTTATTGGACATATCCGCTGAGAGCATACCGGAACCGAACATGGGTGAGCAATGTAACTGAACGAAGTACTGAT